CGAAATACTGAGATGAAACCGTTGATGACATGATATCAAAATTGGTTTAATCAATTGATCGTGTGTTAAAATCACCACGACTCGTAATATTAACAATTGATTTAAGCACCAAGTATGGTAGGACTGTACAAACTTCAAATTAGTATTTTGTGAGAGAGCATATAAAAAGTGATATAAGATCCATAATTAACTTTTGCCCATGGCAAGATACCAGTTTTGTTTGCTAGGTTTAACTCTTAGATCAATCATTTGTTAAATTTAGTATTGGAGATTTTTTTAGTGTCATGTATTTGAGTAAAAATAAGTTTATTAGGAGTTATTGTCACTTAGTTGCGAGAATCAGATCATTGGAGTCTGACCGCCACTCTTAGAATATGGGCGTTGCAACGAGTTCCTGGTAGGTGATTTGTTATATAATTTTATTAATAATTTAATAGCCAAATATTTTCGTTTTATAGTGCAGGTTTTTTATTGGTATGTATTCTCAAAATGATATTTTTTGTACGAATTAGATGATTATTGGTTTTTTTTTGCCAAAAGCTCACTTGCATTACCAAGAGAAATAGATACCAATGTTTACAAACCACATAATAACCAAATCCGAAAATCATAACCACAAACACCTGCAGGAAACAAAGAAAGAGCCTTTATGGCTACCAAATGAGTCGTTGATTGTTCTCCCTGCCTCGCAACCCAACTGAAAATCCTGTGAATAACTCCCGGAGTTGAGATATCTCGTCTAAAATCGCACCACCCCGCCCGTCCCAAGTCACCCGATCCTTGTTTTTGGAAATAACAACTTGCGCATCACCCAGGAATGAGACTTAAGTTAAACCCTTCACAGAGCACCAATGAATCGCGTTCCGGAAAGCCATTAGTTCACTCACAAATGGATCTGTCAAACCTGCATACATAAAACCCTGTGCAAACAACACAGTACCCGCTTAATCCTGCACCACCATCCCACCCGCAGCATGGGACCCCACCTTTACCGCGCCATCCACATAACAAACATAAGGCGTACCAACATTCGTCTCTACCCTCCCGCACACTAAATGGGGATTCACCACCACCCCAGAACCCGACAAGTCCACCCATTCCCTCACCTGCATATGATACTGACGGAGCAAAGCATCCGCAGAATACTGGAAATGATCAAAAACCACCCAGTTTCTAGATTTTCATATTCTCCAGAACAGCGCCACTATCTGCATGATCCTTGTCGGCTCAGTAATCCGCTCCATTATCCTTCTAAAGACCAGCGCTATATTCATGCCATCCAAGTCTTGTCGTTCCGCCACCAAACCACTCTGCATACAAAGCTCCTCCGCCACCCTGTAAGATAGAAAAAGATGCTCCATAGTTTCTAGAGGACCCCAACAGAACGAGCACCGCAGAAGCTCTACCTCACCTCTCTCGCGCAATTCTTCCATAGGAGGCAAAGTTTTCCTCTCGCTCAATGCTTCCCTAGTAGGCAAAATGCACCGCATCAATTCCCACAGAAAAAACTTCAACTTAGGCGGGATTGGCAAGCTCCACATCTTCTTCCAAAAGCTCATATCCCAAAAGGACACTTCCTCCTTCCATCCCCGCAAACCTCGCTGAATCTGAACCGCGGTATGATACCCGAACTTAACAGAATAACACCCATCAACCTCCTTAGCCCAAATCAGCTTATCCTGCACTGGAAGTCTCGGCAACGGGATGCTCATTATCCGCTGCTTAATTTCTGTCGGAAAGCACTGATCCAAACAATCCTCACACCAAGACCCCTCTCCCGGAATAATTAGATCACATACCCTGGACATCTCATCAACAGGAGCAGAATCCAAACTAGGCAACTCCTTACCCGCCATCCCCGGAACCCAAGTGTCTCCCAGCACCCGGATAGACTCACCCGGCCCTACCTGGTGATATAGATCCTTACTCAACAGATCTCGACCACACAGAATACTTCGCCAACCCCAAGATCGCGAGCCCGCTCTAGCATCCAAAATACTTCCTCTAGCAAAAATACCCCAAGATGATTATTGGTATTGATTTTAATTACTTGCATAGATTGACAAGTTTTTGGTATGAGTTTAGCGATTACACGTATGCATTAGACAATTTATATAGGGATAGTTCTAGTTATCACTGTTTTGTATCGTTCAATTTTTAATATATATTCTATAATTCGTTATATGCATTATGCAGTTTCTAGTATTGATTTTTACCAGTATTAATTCACAAAGATCCGACCGTCGACCATCACAATTCGGATTGCCAGCCACTAGAACCGAGTATCACCGCGAGGATCCATCACCGCGAGCAACAACTAATAATATGAAATTACTCATACCAACACAATGGAACTGTTTGACCCTATAATTGCAAGTCAAATAAGATTCTTACACGGTTAGAGACTAGTCTGGCCCAGTTTCAACCCTAAATAAATATAGACCCTTTGATTTATAACTTTTCAACTAAGGATAATTATTATTAACTTAATCAAATTTATAAACTTATCTTATCCTTTAATTATAAGTGGATTCTATTTTTATGGTTGAAATTAATTTTTTTTACTATTTTCTTACTTTTTAATAGACTATTATATCTTTCATTTTAAATTGCTTTTGAAAAATTTTGCAAAAAATCAACGGTTTCATTGTACTTTACAATATTATGTCAGTTTTTGATATATTTTGGAAATTATTTTGGGACCAATTATATCACCCTCTAACATAGTGGTAGATGGTGTAGACAATGATGGATGATGAACTACTAGTTAGTATATTCTTACCACCATATATATCACCATTCTATATTTTAGTATATTTCTAGCACCATAGTACATTTCCATACCACCATGATGTAATTGTCTATATCACTAAGCTCTACGACCATAAAATATGATGGTAACAAAATGTCTCAATTAATATTTTGTTTTCTTGCTTGAAAATTTATATAAAATTATGTTATTTTGCATAGCATAATTAATCTAATTTATGTGATTTTTTTTAAATTTGAGTAAAAACATATGTAATATAGTCTGTTACATTTTAATGAGGATAATAGTTACGTACGAATGAGTAAATATAAGTTACTCGCCGGATCTGCTCTCTGATTTACAGACTCATGTTTTTTAGGTCGAACGAACATCTGTTTAGTGGAATAAATAGTTTTTTTTGTAATAACCTAAATATATATATACATATAAGATTACGAGTATGACTAACTTAATTAATTATTTACTGATAAATATTCATATAATGATCATGGATTTATAAAGGTATACCTAACAAAGTTTCAATGTACTCAAAATAATAAGAATAAATCATAAATATTCATATAATGATCATTTACTGATAAATATTCATATAATGATCATGGATTTATAAAGATATACCTAACAAAGTTTCAATGTACTCAAAATAATATTCATTAATTATTTACTGATAAATATTCATATAATGATCATGGATTTATAAAGGTATACCTAACAAAGTTTCAATGTACTCAAAATAATAAAAATAAATCATAAATAACTTGTGCACAACATTCATACATGTTCCTCATCATAACGTGTTTAAGAGTTAAATTTTATTGGCATAACAACTATGAGAAAAGGACTGCACTGCCCATACTTTGCTTATAAATAACAACAATGGAAAAGTGAATCAACCTTGATGAGCAAAAGAATCCAACCAATCAAAAGAAAAAAGATTAATGAACAAAAGGATTTGACTTTACTTTTCTCTGTTATTTTCATTTTATTTTATTAATTATTATTCCCCCTTGTTTTTGTGTCAACTGAACATTATAATGCAATAAAAAGAATTGAACAAAGAGGACCTTGGAACTTGGAAGTGTCCTATAAATCTGCCAAGCCTTCTTCTCCACCACTTCTCATTCTTTCTTACATCCTCAACTTCACCCCCTCTCTTTGTGGAACTCAACACGACTTCCTGGTTCGTCTCATCTCAAGACCACTCTCACTTCCCCTATAATGGCTCCCAACACTTCAACTTTCTAATTATATTCTTACCTCCGCTTCTCACTCTTTTCTTTCCTTCTGTCGTCTCCTCTTTCTCTCTCTAGACTGTCCTTTTTGTTGGATCAGTTACAACTTCATCTCGCTCACAGTACTTATACTCTCTTCCCTCGGAAACAGAACACCCTGTTACAACTGAATTGCTCTGTTTTTGCTTCTCCCCGCCTCAACAACCACTCTCCTTCACATTGTTGCCCGAACAAAAGGTACCATCTTTGCTCTTTAATTTGTGAAAATGGTGATTGCCCTTTTCGATTTGGTGTGTTTCCTCATCTGGGTTTGATTCATTTACCGCTCTTCTTCTTCTCTCTGCATGCATAAGAAAGGTCTCCGTAATCAACTAATTCCCCTGCTCCCTGTCCTTTTGTCGTTTTCGCTCTATTCTAGAATATAGATTTGCTATCAGCTGATTCGTTTTGTTGTGGACGAGGACAACGTTTTCATTCTTCTTCACTTATTATTTATTGTCGTTATTGCATCTCTATCTTTGTTGGGGAATTTATGAGATTAAAAAAAGAAACAGAGAGGGGCATTTGAGCCACTGCGGGGACATTTGTTTCCTGGTGGCAACAACCACAAGACCAATAGCTAGTTGTCTAGTTTTGAAGAAGCCACGTAGGATTTGGATTCGGACACGTGGGGTGGGGAATGTGATGGTAATGATGACCGTACTGGCCCTATCTTTCATAATGACAAAGTACTAGCGTCGTTGCCGCTGCCGCCGAGCACCATTTAAACTTAGAAATTGGCTTCCACCGTTAACTTGATTGCCATTCCTGATTGAATTAGCATGATCTTGATGAACCTTATTGACAAGCTCTAGTACAGTTTTAAAAGCAATTGCCTTTTCAAGTAAAACTCCACAAATTTGTTCCTATGTAATCATCATTGTTATACATGATGGCACTGATTCAACTTTCTTCGTTGAACAGAAAGAAAGGAAGTGAAAACCTTCAAAAAAACAAACATGGCTCTCGGGAATGGGACATGTTATAAGCCCATGAAGGCAACCTCCAATGGAGTTTTCCAAGGTGACACTCCCTTGGACTTTGCCTTGCCTCTCGCCATCCTCCAGATATGCCTTGTTGTCGCCCTCACTCGTGCTCTCGCCTTCGTGCTTCGCCCCATGCGCCAGCCTCGTGTCATTGCAGAGATCGTCGTAAGTCAAACCACCATCTCATCGATGAGCAAAATCATTTGTTACAGTTTACGTTGTTGCGGTCAGTAATGAGTAGAAATGTTACTTGCTTGGATTACAGGGAGGGATATTGCTTGGTCCATCTGCATTGGGGAGAAACCATGAATACTTGAACACACTCTTCCCAGTTAAAAGTCTCACGGTATTGGACACTCTTGCCAATTTGGGACTGCTCTTCTTCCTCTTCTTGGTGGGACTTGAATTGGACCCCAAGGCACTCAAGAGGACAGGGAAGAAAGCCTTTGCTATCGCCATGGCTGGGATCGGCCTCCCCTTCATTATGGGAATAGGGACATCCGTTGTCCTCCGTGGGACCATCTCCAAAGGCGTGAGTGGACCTCCGTTCCTCGTCTTCATGGGTGTGGCGCTCTCCATCACTGCTTTCCCCGTCCTGGCTCGAATCCTGGCAGAGCTCAAGCTACTCACTACAGACGTCGGTCGGATGGCAATGTCGGCCGCAGCTGTTAACGACATTGCCGCCTGGATTCTGCTCGCTCTCGCCATTGCCCTCTCTGGCACAGGCTCCCCTCTGGTCTCCCTGTGGGTGCTTTTGTGTGGAGCAGGTTTCGTCATAGCTTGTGTGGTCATTCTGCCTCGAGTGTTCGCAATGATGGCCCAACGTTGCCCTGATGGCGAGCCTGTCGACGAAATCTACGTGTGCGCCACATTGTGTTGTGTCCTGGCAGCAGGATTCGTCACCGACACCATCGGAATCCACGCTCTTTTTGGAGCATTTGTCGTGGGAATCCTCGTCCCTAAAGAAGGTGCATTCGCTGGAGCGCTAGTCGAAAAGGTGGAAGATCTCGTCTCGGGTCTATTCCTCCCATTGTACTTCGTCTCGAGCGGATTGAAGACCAATGTAGCCACCATACACGGTGCACAATCATGGGGGCTCCTCGTTTTGGTTATCGTCACGGCTTGTTTTGGCAAGATCGTCGGCACTGTGGTTGTCTCCTTACTCTGCAAAATGCCATTCCAGGAAGCATTAGCCATTGGATTCCTGATGAACACCAAGGGTCTAGTGGAGCTCATTGTTCTCAACATTGGCAGAGACAGAAAGGTAATCTCATTTCCATTTTTCTTCTCTTCCTACTAATTTCTTTAGAGCTCAATTGGGTAACTGAATTGAATCGAATCTTTGAGGCTGAATTCACAACAGGTTCTGAATGAGGAAACATTCTCAATCCTAGTCCTGATGGCTATATTCACAACGTTCATCACTACTCCCATCGTAATGGCGGTCTACAAGCCCGCGAAACGAGAATCGAAAACAGAGTACAAGCACAGGACATTCGAGAGGCAAGATCCAAGCGACCAATTCAGACTACTGGCGTGCTTCCACTCATCGAGGAACATACCTGGACTGATCAATTTGATAGAAGCTTCCCGCGGGACCGAAAAGCGGCAGGGACTCTGCGTCTACGCCTTGCATCTCATGGAGCTCTCAGAGAGGCCATCGGCGATCCTCATGGTCCACAAGGCGAGGAAGAACGGGCTCCCCTTCTGGAACAAGATCCAGCAGTCGGATTCCTCGAATCAGGTGGTGGTCGCCTTCGAGGCGTTCCGGCAGCTGAGCCGGGTCGTGATCCGGCCCATGACGGCGATCTCTGCCATCCACGGGATGCACGAGGACATCTGCGAGAGCGCAGACCGGAAGCGCGCGGCCATGATCATCCTCCCCTTTCACAAGCACCAGCGGGTCGACGGAACCCTAGAGACGACCCGAATTGAGTTTCGGAGCGTGAACCGTCGGGTCTTGGAGCGGGCAACCTGCTCCGTGGCGATCCTCGTGGATCGCGGGTTCGGCGGGTCGACCCATGTCGCCGCGAGCAACGTTTCTTCGAGCATCACCATGTTGTTCTTCGGTGGCAAGGACGATAGGGAGGCGCTGGCGTACGGCGCCAGGATGGCGGAGCACCCGGGGATCAGCTTGACGGTGATGCGCTATGTGGCGGGCCAGAATTCGTCGGGGGAGATCTCGACCGTTGATTTGAACGACGGACCCGACTCGTCGCGGATTTCAGATGGTGAGTATTTGGCTGAATTTAGGAAGAGGATTAGGGAGGACGGGTCGATTAAGTATGAGGAGAAAGTGGTGAACAATCCGGTGGAGACTGCGGAATCGATTCGAGGGTTCAGCAAGTGTAATTTGTTTCTGGTGGGGAGGTCCCCGGAGGGTCCGGTGGCGGCGTGCCTGAGCGCGAAGATTGAGTGTTCGGAGCTGGGTTCGGTGGGGAATTTCTTGACGTCGCCGGAGTTTGTGACGTCGGCGTCGGTGTTAGTGGTGCAACAGTACTCTACAGAGAAAAGGTTGACGCCGAGGCACAGCACGATGAGCTCCGGGAAGGTGGCGGAGTTGCCTGTTGGGGAGATGGAAGAGGGGAAAATGGAGGTCTGAAGTTTTTTGGTGCGAATGGGGATGGAAAATTAGAATGTCTGTATTTCGTTTCTTTTCCTTTGTTTTCTGTTCACTGTTTTCCTCTTTCTTGGTATAATTTTAGTTTCTTGCTCGTTTGAGTACAGAAACAAAATAATAACAGAAAGAAAGAAGAGAAAAAGATACCGAAAAAACAAAAAGGGAAATAAAATAATACAGAGGATATAGAATTTCCATATTCTCCTTTCCCTTTCAGAGGTTCAATTCGAAGTAGAAATACAAAGATACGTGCAAACTACGAACCAATATTTTCAAGAGAGATGGAGACTGGAGAATGAAGAAAACCTCCTTGAGAAAATCCTAGTAGCGCTCAAATTATTCCCACTCTTTCTCTTCCAGCGGCGTTCTTCTCTACTCGCTCCCAAGTCCCAATTTACCTTCAACCCAATTGAAGGATTCCAACTGCAGGTATGCCAATCGCCCTCACTTTTGTTGTACTATGACGAATCCGGCATTGTGCTTTCTTGATTTATTTCATCGAAAGATTGTGTCTCGACCCTTCAGTTCTCCGATTATCCGAGTCAAATGGAACTGGGTGGATCGGTGGGTGAGGGTTAATTTCACGAGATTTCAAACGGGTTTAGATGATTTTCAAGACTTTTGGGGTTTGATCCTAGAAATTGATTGGGAATATGGAAGGTTTTTATGATTCCCCGAGAATCTAATGATCCGGGGCTTCTTTCTGTTTTTTGTCTGGATTCTTTTTGGGGGCAGGTAGTGAATGTGAGACTGTGCTATTGAAGGCAAAAATGGTTAGTGCAAATGTTACTTGTGCTAAGCCCATGGTGGGCTACATCGAATGGGTTCCTCCAAGGGGACTGTCCGTTGGAATTCGCTCTTCCTCTTGTGATTCTCCAGATCTGTCTCGTGGTTGCTCTGACCAGGGATCTGGCTTTCCTTTTGAGACCATTGAGACAACCCCGTATGATTGCAAAGATGGTGGTAAGTTTCATCTCTCGCCATATTTCCTTTTGTACTAAGTTTCTCTGAGAAAATCGCCTCCATTAAGAATAGGGTTGTGTGAAACCTTTTGTTTCATTGAATTGAGAAGAAGCTTTACAAGCAGTATATATAGGCTACACTACAAGGAAACCCTACCATTTACAACGGTCACTAAACAGTAATTAACTAACTATTATCAATAAACAATTGAAATCAGCCAATGAAAGGAACACGGGTGGCTAAGCTCGATTGAGCTAATGTGAGCAAAAATGGGACGACGTCGTGCTGTGCAAACGACATCGGAGTGCGCTTCTTCAAGCAGCAGAGACAGCTGATCTCTGAAATGGGCTTCGCTCTCTTCTGTCTTCGTATTGGGCCTGTTACTCAGCGAGGCCCACTACCCATCTTCTTCTTTCCTTCAGACCCCCCCCCCCCTCAAGCTGAGGAGTGTAAATGTTGAAAACTCCTAGCTTGAGAAGAAGGAAATGCAGTCTGTGGCGACTCAATGCTTTGGTAAATAGATAGCTAGTTGAAGTTCAGACCTGACATGAGTCACCGTGACGATCTTCTGTAAAATGTGTTGTCGAATCAAGTGGCAATCCACTTCTATATGTTTTGTTCTCTCATGGAAAACATGGTTGTGTGCAATGTGGATGGCTGACTGGTTGTCACAAAACAGGGCTCCTGGTTCTGTGCAGTTGACTCCCATCTCAGATAGCAGTTGTTTCAGCCATACCATTTCACAGGAGAGCATTGCTAGAGACCTGTATTCTGCCTCAGAAGAGGATCTAGACACTGTTTGTTGTTTCTTAGCTCTCCAAGTGATAAGTGAGTCACCTAAGAAGGTGCAATAGCCTGTTAAAGATCTTCTTGTATCAGGGCAAGCTGCCCAATCTGCATCTGAGTAGCCCTTCAACTGGAGTGTTGTTCCAGATTTAAACAATAAGCCTTGTGTTGGATGGCCTTTAAGATACCTGAAGACATGATGAACAGCTTGTAGATGCTGGTCTGTTGGTTCCTGCTGGTATTGACAAAGTTGTTGTACAGCATATGTAATATCTGGTCTGGTGATTGTTATGTATTGCAATTTTCCAACCAGCCTCCTATATGATGTTGAATCTGATAATAAGTTCCCAGCTCCTGCAGACAGTCTGGTTTTCATGTCAATTGGGGATAGAGCTGGCTTAAAACTGAGAAATCCAGCCTCTTTTAACATATCCAAATAGTACTTTCTTTGACAAACAAAAATACCCTTCGAGCTTCTGGCTATCTCAAGCCCCAAGAAGTATCTAAGCAGTCCCAAGTCCTTGATCTTGAACTCTTTAGCAAGAAACTGCTTTGCTTGATCAATCATTGAATCATCATTTCCTGCCACAATAATATCATCTACATAGACCAAAAGGATGAGAATATATTGATCCTGAACCATGGTAAACATGGAGTAATCTGCTTGGGATTGAGCAAATCCATACTTGAGCAAAGCAGCAGTGAGCTTGGCAAATCATTGCCTACTTGCCTGCTTCAAACCATATAATGACTTCTTGAGTAAACAAACCTGTCTATGTTTAGATTGCTTAAGTTCTAACCCAGAGGGAACAGCCATATAAACAAGTTCATCCAAGTCTCCATGAAGGAAGGCATTACTTACATCCATTTGATGTAAGTGCCAGTTCTTAACTGCTGCAACAGCAAGTAGAGTCTTGACTGTATTGACTTTTGCCACTGGAGAATAAGTGTCAAGAAAGTTTATACCTGGTATTTGAGTAAAGCCCTTAGCCACTAACCTGGCTTTATACCTTTCTACACTCCCATCTGGATTCAATTTCACCTTAAACACCCATCTGCACCCCACTATTTTTCTGCCTGGAGGCAGATCCACAATGTCGCAAGTGTGATTCTCCTGCAAGGCATTCAACTCTTCAATAATGGCCTTCCTCCACCAATCATATTGCATGGCTTCTTCAAATGATTTAGGTTCAATAAGCTGGAGAACACTAAGGGCATAGGTTTGATAGGATGAGGTGAGGTTTTGGTCAGAAATGAAATTGGTTAAAGAGTGTTGGCTTGTATTTGTTGGTTTGAGGTTAGGTAGGGTTGTTTTGTAGTTTTGAATGAGGTATTCTGGTGGTTTAGAGGCTCTTTGAGATCTTCTAGGTATTGGTTCTGGGTCATTGGGAGGTAAAACAGTTTCATGAACTACTTCCTCTTCTTCCTGTGGTTCTTCCTCTTCATCAAAGTTCTCTAATGGTGATGTGGGAGGTGATGGCAAAGGCTGAGGATCAGGGTTTGGGAATCTGGATTTTCTGGTGGTGGAGTAAAGGGGTTTTCTGGTTCTGGGAATGGATCAAAAGAGGTAGGTGAAGGAGCAGTGTGTGTGGAGTCACAAACAGGATGTAAGTGATCCTTCTTGTATGGAAGAATGTGCTCATAGAACTTTACATCCCTAGAAACAAACACTGCATGATTTGATAAGTCCAGCAGTTTATATCCCTTCATTCCTGGGGTAAAACCCAGAAACACACACTGTCTGGCCCTTTTCTCAAACTTTTTCCTTCCCTGAGAGAGTGTTCCAGCATAACATAAGCATCCAAAGATTCTTAAGACACTATAATCTGGTGCCTTCCCATACAGTTTCTTAAATGGTGTTAGATTCTCCAACAAGGGTGTAGGTAACCTATTGATCAGAAAAACTGCATGCAAGACACAATCTCCTCAGTAAGATAATGACAACCCTGCTTGAAATCTCAAAGCCCTTGCTACATTAAGAATATCCTGGTGTTTTCTTTCAACTCTCCCATTCTGCTGTGGGACTTCTACACAGGAAGTTTGATGTAGTATTCCATGTTCTCCATAGAAACCAGGCATGTGAAATTCCAATCCCTGATCTGACCTTATGGTCTTGACCCTTTTACCAAAATGAACATTCACCATAACACAGAAATCTTGAAGTAGTTTTCTAGCTTCAGATTTAGCTTTCATCAAGAAAACCCATAAACATCTACTGTAATCATCAACCACAGTTAAGAAATAACGAAATCCATTGTAACTTAATACAGAATGTGGACCCCAAATGTCAACATGGACAAGATCAAAGGGTTCTACAGAAACTGAACTGCTTAAGTCAAAGGGCAGTTTCTTTTGCTTAGCAAAATGACAAGTCTCACAATGGTCTATTACATATTTTTCTACTACAGGATTGGATTTCTGGATGATGTTTTGCCTCAATGCAGAAGGATGTCCTAGCCTGGAGTGCCATAGATCAAGGTTCTGTTGGGAGAAGTTATAAGCTGCTGCTATGGTGGGAAGATTGTTTCTGGCATCTGGGATAGGAGAAATGCATTGAGACATTTGGTAGAGACCTCTAACTTGATGGGCCAAGCCAATCCTCCTCCTGGTAAGAAGGTCCTGAATTTCACAGAATGAGGATTTGAAAGTGAGTGAGACTGGCAAGGTTTTGGTTAGTTTACTAACAGAGATGAGGTTGAATAAAAATGATGGGACATAGAGTACTTGGTGAAGGACAAGGCTACATGGCAATTTGACAACACCTATGTGAGTGGCCTCTGCCTTTTGACCATTAGGTAAGGTCAGAAACACATTTTTGATTTCTTTGTGTGCAAGGAAACACGACAAATTGCAAGATATATGGTCTGTGGCACCAGTATCTACAATCCACATATCATGCAATTTAAAAGATTGAGATTGTGCTCCTGTAAGAAGAGTTAACTTGCCTGCAAAGTTGGGGAAAGTAGGCAATTGTCGAGAAACAGAATTTGCCTGTGGTAACATCCCAGGGGATCCAGGCCTTGTGGAACTTGGAGAAGTTGTAGGAGAATGCTGCAGCAAATTGAGGAGTCTGTTACAGTCTTCAGTGCTGAGTTTGAGGTTTTTATATCCTGTGCCTTCTTCATCAGAATTCCCCTTAGAAGAGGTATCTCCAGTTGGATTTCACACTGAGCCAGCAAAGTTGCTGTGACCTGATTCCATCATTTTCTTGTTCTTAGCTTTCAGCTTCCAGC